GGGCAGTAATCCCTCTCCTGCCCCGTATCTCTGGCAGATGGAAATCCCAGAAAGAAAAGGGGGGAAATTTTAGGTTTCCCTGCTTGAGTGATTTCCAGGGTGGTTTAAGATCCAGTAAATGGCCTTTGGATTGGCAGAGCAGGTTGAGCTGCAAGAGGAAGGTCACTCCAAATATTCCTTGTGGGAAAATTTTCTTTCTCTGATTCTGTGGGAGTGAGTGGGTGGAACTGGAAAAACCCCATAAAAAGTCACTGCATGAGCTCTGCAGATTAAATAACACAGTTACTGGCAGCATCACACTGAGTTTAAATTACCCACAGCTCCTGGGGCTGGGGACTGTGCAGGTGACAGCTTCTGCTTGGATCCCTGGCAGCAGGTTTGGTACTTCTCTTTCTTTCCTGTCTTCCTCACGTCTCCAAAAAGAGCCATTTTGTTGTTAAATCTGGGGGGGAGCTCCAGGGAGATGCAGAGAGGGATCACTAGGGAGGGAGGAAAAGGGGAGCAGAGCTCGAACAGGCTCCAAGCAGGAGGGGGCTGGGAGGGGAAGGTGGAACCAGAGGATGGTTTTCAGCACTCCTAAAGCCTGGGGGTGACATGAGGCTGCCTTTTGAGAGACTGCCTGATCTCCTGCAGAGCAGAAATCCTTTCTGCAGGTTCCATTTGCTGTGGCCCAGGGCTGGAGTTGGGCTCTCCTGGCTGGGAGTGAGGCTCTGCTGATGCATCAGTGCCTGAGAGGGGAGATGCCAGGGGAGCAGCAGTGCCTGGTCCTGCCTTCTGAGCAGCCTGCAGCCAGTGCACGAGCTCCAGATCCTGGGGAGAGTAGCACTGCACAGCAAATCCTTGCCTTTTATACCCTCCTGCACTACCCTCTGAGTCCAGCCTGAATGAGCCCCCTCAAATGAGTAATTTAAATTCAGACTTTCATACATGGTGCTTCTCTCTGGGCTTTTTTGATTTTCCTTTTCCCTGCCAGTGTTCAAATTTCCTCACATACTTCACCAGTGACCTGATGCCCAGGGATGCTCCGTGGCTGCCATTGCAAAAACAGTTCACAAGTCAACATGTGCTGATGTGCTTTCTGAGCACTGATGTGCTTTTTGAGATCAGCCCTGCTGAATCTGCCAGGCACCGAGGGCCAGCTGCAGTGACTATAATCTATAGTCAAAAAACCAGTGCCCACACTCAAATACTCAATATTTAGGCCTCTTGTTGTCTGCCTTTGGGGACTAGAAATCATTTCTCTCACTGATCTGTTCTCCCTGCTGATGGATCTTTAGCATTCAAGAGTGAGCTTGAGATCCTCAGAGATGTTAACAGTGTTTTTTTCTGCTGCCACTCTTTGCTCTGTGATTTTGTAGTCACTACTGTGGTTTTCCTCATAGAATGCACAACATTATATCAATTTAAACAATGTGCTTCACTGATCTTTAAAAGACTTCAGAGCTGTTTGGTTTCCAGGAACCCTTGACTTTTCCAAGAAGGTTACACTGAGGCTAAATTTATCTCAGCTTATTACTATAACCAGTTATTTACAAATCTGACAGCTCTTTTAGACATTATTTTTGAGAATATGCCTCAGCTGATTTCTTGTTTCGTAAATCCCATTTCTGCAGACATGAAAAGTCCTCCTGAGGGTGATGTGAATACAATTTGTATCCACATACTACAACATATTTTGTAAATTCAGCTAAGCTTTCTCCAGGTCTAGTGTGTGCACTATTTAGGTTAAAGAATGTTCACCTCTGAGTGCAAGATCTGGGCTTTGTTCAGCTTGGACTTGGTCTTCCAGTAGCCAATTTCTGTTTGAATTAATCATTTGGATCAAAGTGCTACTCAGTATTTATATTTTTAAGTCTTCCTAAGGATCAAGTAGAGCCTTCTCCAATCAGCATCTCCTGGGAGGAGCAGGTGGGAATAGAGACACAAAATCTTTCCTTTGCTGGCCATTGCTTTGATTCCAGAAGCAGTCGGTAGTGATTGAAAAACATTAAATAAAGTTAAGCAGGTGTTTTATGTGGGTACCCAGGGAGAATTTAACAAGCTCTGTGCTTTTTTCTGAATCTCCAGGAAACACCTGTACCATCATCCTGTTGCTGACAGTTTCAGGCAAGCCCAGAGCTGGACCAGAGTTGATTCTGCTCACACTGGCTGAGGACAGCTTGGTCAGAGAGCAGCAAAAGGAAAAATGACCCAACACTCATGTAACTGGCTCCCAGAGTTGTGGCAAACTGCTGCCTAATCCCAGCATTAAATTTACCTAAATAATAATAGGGGTTAGTGGATTTCTCTTTTGTGCCTCACCTGGGTATGACTGTTAAGTCATGAAAGCTTTAAAAGCTCATAAATTAACAGAAGTGACAAATGAGTTCAGCAGGGTGCCCTGGATGAACTGCTGGTGTTTGAAACTGCTGAAGGGGCTTTGCAGTCAGGGCTGAGCCAGACCTCACACTCATCCCTGCACTGGTCACACAAACCTAGGGGAGAGACAGAAGAGAGGCTCTGGTTTATGAAACTGATGCTTGAATTGCCAAAAAAAAAAAAAAGGGCTGTGAGAGTCTTACAAGGTGCTGTGAGTGGTGATCCAAAAGGATTTTTTTAATGTCAGATTCAAGTGAAACCCTCACTCATATCAGCAGCATCAGGTTCTTCCAATGCTGAACCCAGCCTCTCCCCCAGGAAAGGCCACTCCCTGGTAAAAACCAGCTGAAAAGAAGAGTTCAGTGGATGAGCTGATAAGCAGATGCTTGAAAGCAGATTTCTCTCTCCTCTGCGATGTGTACCTCAGTATTTCTCTCCAATATGCCTCAAAAATTTTGCTTTTTGGGCGATTGCAACTTGTGATTTCTCCTGGAATACTCCAGGATGGGTGTGGTTGAAAGAGCCTCTGGAAGTTATTGCGAATAAAATCAAGTGTGCTCAGTGGCTTCTTCTGCAGGCAATGTTTCCTTCAGCCCAGGGTTTCTATGGAAAAACAGGAACGTGCTGCCTTTGCAGCAAATACTTATGCACTAAACCTCACCTGTGTGGGGCTTTAAGAACAGGAGACAATAGAAAAAGGATCTTGAAAATAGAAAAAGAAAACTCACAGTGAGTTTCATTAGAGATCTCGATTACCAAACAGCACAGGATTCATTTTCTTGTCTATTTTCACCCTCCTCTGGGGATGAATGATGATTAAAGGACAGGATAATAAGCAGGGGGAGGGTGGGATGAGAACTTGGTGAGAAGCAGTTAACATTTATAAAAAAAAAAAAAAGAGAAAGGGAAAGGAAAACAAGTGTTTCAGTTAACTAGTCAAGCTTAGCTTAACACTGTCTCTGCTTTAAGTGACATTATGAGAAATAGATGGCTCAAAAGCAACTTCACAAGTGCTGGACTCCACAGAATTTATGTTGACAACTTATTAAGAGCATTTGTTCACCTTGGAGGTGTTTAAACCTCCCTGTGATGTCTTTTACATTTATTTCCTGATTTTTTTTTTTTGGGGTGGGGTGGGGTGGTAAGATTCCTGTGCAAAGGCTGCAAACCAGCATGCTCATCTTTCCCTGCCCGTTGCAGCTAAGGTAAGCAAGAAAAGACCCTTTTGTAAAAAGAATGATTCGAGTAACAATCTCTCCGGTTTTGCTGCTCGCTACCGAACGGGGCGGGGGAGTTTGCCAAGAGGTTTTGGGTCTGCTCGGACGGGCTTTCCCTTCCCTCGGGGGTGCCCCGCTCGGGGCTCCGCAGTGTTTGTGTCCCGCACGATCCACTCGGGACGCGGAGCTGCCCGCGGCTTTTCCCCGCTCCCTGCCCGCAGGATGACGCTGCCGGCCGCGGTGTCACCCTCGGGGCCGGGCTGGGCGCGGTGCGGGACGCTGCCCCCGGTCCGTGCCCACCCTCGGCGGGGCCGCGGCCGCCCAGGAGAGGGAGCCCGGCCCCGCCGTGCCGGGAGCGGCTCCCGAGCGTGCTGTCGCCGCTGCCCCGGGTGGCGGTGCCTCGCCCCGCGGCCCCTCCCGAACGTCGCCCGTCGCGGAGGCGCGGGGCCGGTACTCACTGTCGGCAGCAGCGCACCGAGCGCGGCTCGCAGCGCCCCGCGCGTCCCGCAGCTCGGGCAAAGTAATCCCGGCTGCGCTAAACTCCACCAGAGCCGCTCCCGGAGCCCCGCTCTGCCTCTCGCCCCGGCTGCCCGGGACATTATTCCCCAGGAAGGCAGGAAAAGCTGCCCAGAAGAAGCGACGCCCGACGGAAGATGTTAGAGGAGGCGAAGGGGGGTGGCTTTTTGCTCGTTGCGTGCCTCCATGCCTGTCATTCCCTTGTCTTAATCCTTTAGGAAGGAGTCGCCAGGCAGACAGAGCGTTCCTGGAGGGGCGATGCTGCCGAGCCCTGCCCCGGGCAGAAGGAAGCCGGGAGATGCGCGGCCCGGGGCGGGCAGCGGGAGAGTGTGAGGAGCTGCCTCCGCCTGCGCCTTTCCGAGAGGAAAAAAGCATGGTGAGAGCTGGACCCGATCCCTGGAGCGCAGCCCCGCTGAGCAGGAGGTGGGATTATTCTGGAGTAGTTATGGAGAGCTATAACTTGGCAGCGGAGTGTTAAAGCGACTTGTTCCTGCTGGAAGAGGAACCCACTGCTGGCATCGCGGCGTGGTGGCCGAGGGAAGGTCACTCAGGTCCTTCTCCTCTCGCCTCTTTCTTCATCCGGCAAACGACCGAAGGAAAAACTGGTAACCGGCTCTTGCCAGTGTTGGGAATACCGTGCCTTTTGGCTGGGATGATTTGCCCTGATGTGCCGCCTCAACGGGATGTACAAAGTGCGACTGGGACTGATCCGGCCGACAAAGTTTGCAGAGTGATCAGCAGGGGCCGTGGGATGGAGGGAGCTGGGCACACACCAGCAGGGTCCGTCACGCACGGTCCGACGGCACAGACCTGCTGCTCCCTTGAAAACTGACTCCTGGTGGTCCAACTCTTACTTCTCCCCTGCTAATTTGCACTTTCAGGGAAAAAAAAACCCACCTACACGATGCAATGCAGTGTTCCTGTGTTGGTTTTGTATATAAAATTTGCTATGCAATTCCAAAACTAAAACAGGAGGAGAGACGGCCCTGCGTCCCAGAGCAAGCAGGGAATCAGAGGTGAAAGGTAGGAGCAGCATTTCTTGTTTAAGTCAAACTAAATAACCTGAGCTACTTCTTGCTGAAAACCTTTAAAACACACCTACTGTATGTTTATTTATTTTGTCTTGGAAATGTAAAACAGTTTCAAACAAAGTGAAGATTTGCTTTCTGATACTACCAAGAAACAGAGCGAGAACTGGTGCATTTTGTAACAGGAATGTACCGAGGGATGGAGTGTTTCATCAGTGAGACATTTAGGGAACTAGAGAAAAGGCATCTTGTCTGATACGCTTCAGTAAATATGAAGGGCTGGTGCAGTGGACACTGGAAACACTCGATCAATAGTCTATTTAAGTGTGAATAGATGCAAGCATGGAAAAGTGATTGCTTTGCTGTGTGTGGGGTGTGTTTGCAGAGGACAGCAGCAGAACATTTACAGGTGAGCTGTCTGAGTTAGGCTACTCCATGCAGAGGTGGTGCAGTGTGTTTCTGAAGGGATTGCTAAAAACCTCTGTTTGTAGGGTGGACTGTGTTTGTGCATTTTCAGTTCCTGCTCACAGAGCTTTCAGGATGTTGTTCAGGATGATTCAAAGAGGGTGAGGTCCATCTGGGGGCGAAGGGACTGTAGGAAAAGACCTTTGCTCAGTTTGGTGATGAGTAATTAATGGCCGTCTGATCTCTGTGATCTCTGCAAGGAGAGGAGTTGATGTCGTCATGAAAATCATGATATGATTTTCCCTCAGGAGAAACTATGACTTGGAACGACACCACTATGGACGGGGAAGGGTTGCTGGTGGAAAGGGACTCCTCTTCCTTTCGGATCCTCACGGGCTGCTTCCTCTCGCTCCTGATCCTCTCCACGCTGCTGGGAAACACGCTGGTCTGCGCAGCTGTCATTCGGTTTCGCCATCTCAGGTCCAAGGTGACCAACTTCTTTGTCATCTCTTTGGCCGTGTCAGATCTCTTAGTGGCAGTTTTGGTCATGCCTTGGAAAGCTGTGGCTGAGATCGCCGGTTTCTGGCCTTTTGGTTCATTTTGCAACATCTGGGTGGCCTTTGATATTATGTGCTCAACAGCCTCCATCTTAAACCTCTGTGTCATTAGTGTGGACAGATACTGGGCCATCTCCAGCCCGTTTAGGTACGAGAGGAAAATGACCCCCAAGGCAGCCTTCATCATGATCAGCGTGGCGTGGACTTTGTCCGTGCTGATCTCCTTCATCCCGGTGCAGCTGAACTGGCACAAGGCTGCAACCACGAACGTTTTGGACTTCAATGCCAGCTTAGAAGGTGTGAGCATGGACAACTGTGATTCTAGCCTAAACAGGATGTATGCCATCTCCTCTTCTCTAATTAGCTTCTACATCCCCGTGGCCATCATGATAGTCACCTACACCAGGATATACCGGATTGCTCAGAAGCAAATCCGGCGCATCTCGGCTCTGGAGAGAGCAGCAGTGCATGCCAAGAACTGCCAGAACCCGGGTGGCAACAGGAGCAGCATGGACTGCCAGCAGCCAGAGAGCAACTTCAAAATGTCCTTCAAGAGGGAAACAAAGGTGTTAAAGACCCTCTCGGTGATCATGGGGGTGTTTGTGTGCTGCTGGTTGCCATTTTTTGTGTTGAACTGCATGATTCCCTTCTGCGAGCCCACCCAGCCGTCCAAGGGAGCAGAGGCTTTCTGCATTAATTCCACCACCTTTGATGTTTTTATATGGTTTGGATGGGCCAATTCTTCCCTCAACCCCATCATTTATGCCTTCAACGCTGATTTCCGCAAGGCATTCTCCACCTTGCTGGGCTGCTACAGGCTCTGCCCCCTTTCTGGCAATGCCATTGAGACCGTCAGCATTAACAACAACGGGGCCGTGGTTTTCTCCAGCCAACACGAGCCCAAAGGGTCCAGCCCCAAAGAGTCTAATCTGGTTTATCTGATTCCACACTCCATTATCTGCCCGGAAGAAGAACCTCTTAAAAAGGAAGACGAGGAGAGTGAACTGTCAAAGACCTTGGAGAAAATGTCTCCAGCACTGTCGGGTATCTTGGATTATGAAGCTGATGTTTCTTTGGAAAAGATCAATCCCATTACACAGAATGGGCAGCATAAAACCTGAACAGTAAGGTTTACTCAGCAAGACCTAATGGTGTATATTGTAATAATCTTTTTTGGGGAAAAAAAAGATGTACAAGATTTTTTTGCTAAGAACCTAAGCTCTAAGGGAGAAAAATGCACATTTACACCAAGCCCAGAATTAATTTTCCTGGCATTCAGAGCAAATTTAACGTTTCAAACAATAAACAGAAAAAGATACTGGAAATTGGTTATAAAAAGGGATGTTAAACTGTACTGTTCACACTGAGGAAAAGCTACAAATTTAGATACAGTGCAGTTACAAAGAAAATGTTGCTTCTTCTCTGTACAGAGAAACCAATTTCTAGCTAAAAGTGAGGCAAAAGATAAATGTTGAGTATTTAAAGATTAATGTTTACTAGAAGTTAAAAGATTGCTTTGTCTTGTGATAGTGGGTGTTAACAGGTCCTAATTAATGACTGAGGGATTGTAAAGGTAGGTAGATGCCTTCTTAAAATTATTTCTGACAAATAATTGAGCCTTATAACGAGAATGGTTATTTTTAAAGCTTTGGGAGGTAATATGTTGATACTGGTTTTATTTATTTATTGTTTTAAATTGATATTTTTCATATGTTATAACAGATCTAGCTTTATTTATGTTATTTAAGATGTTTAAATAATGGGATATTTTTGGAGTGTCATAACTGCATTTTGACCAGTCAACCAGTCAGCACTTTATTACAAGCTCTGATAGTCTGGAGAGCTGGTGAGGGGAATGGAGGAATGTTAAGGAGCTCAGCAAGAAATGAAGGAATTAACAGAACTGATGTTGTGTGGAGTTGGTTTGCTTGTGGGCTTTTTCAATTTTTAAGTGGGATTTCTTTCAAAAGATAGGACCAGAGTTGACTGAGTTGCGAATTCTCTTCCCTTATAGAAATAAAAAAATTGCTGCTATTTATTTTTCAAAAGTTTCATGTTACAGAGACTTTGCTAGAATGTCAAGTTTGTGGATCTGTAAATACCTTAAATATGACTACAACCTTAAGAAGAATCCAGTTTGGGAAGGAAAGCTTCTTAGATAACAATTCTTAGTATATAGTGTTTTGTATTTATGTAAGATAAACAGCTTTCTCAGACTTTTCTTATTTCAAGTCTTGGATATCTTTTCTGAACAAACACACTGGGTTATAATGGTAGGAAGGATGCCAGAATCTGGTTATCCTGCAGGACCACCTGGACCCTGCTGTCTGTCTGCTCCTGTGTCACAGCCAGAATTAAAAACAGAATTAAAACCTGAGGTCCCTGGTGCTTTACCCCGGGAGCTGGGAGGACATTGCAGTTTAGTGATTGCCATGTCAATACTCCAATCAATAAGGAGTAGTGGCCTCATTACCATTTTGGATTAAAACATTTCTAAATATGGCTGGAACTGCAGCCTCCATCTCGAAATCCTCCTGTGAACTCCAAAAAAGTTGCCAATGTTTAATTAAAAAAATCCTGCTAGTTTGCCACTGTCCTTCCCTGCTGCTTTCCCTCTGTAATGCCAAAAGCAATCAGTGAGCATTAGCAACAGGAACATTGGGTGTTAATATTCAGCAGCATTCAAAGGAATCCATTTCTTTTCTAAATGGGAGAAAATACCCTTTAGAGCAACTTTTTCGTAACATATATCAAAACAAATGTGTTGTCAGGAAAAGAGAACTGAGAGGAAAAAAAAAATTTAAAGTCTAACAAACTATATACATCCTGCATCAGGTCTGTGTATTTATGTATTGTGAATGTTTTCATAATTTTATTGCCTGTATGCTGCTTTCATACATATAATAAAATTATTTTGTGAACAGAAGGTCAAATAAAGCAATCTACATTGCATTTATTAAATACATGCTGTTTTTTGGCAGTTGTATTGATTGTGTTAAAGGGAAGGATGGTTTCTTTATTTTCCCACTTGCCCTTATTTGGGATCACACCCATGAGGCAGATGGGAATTTCTGTTAAAAGCAGAGGAAAACCTCCTTACTAGAGACCACTGAGCCCTTGCTGTAAACTAGGATTTGAAAGCAGTAAAAGCAGTTTGGAAACAGCCACTCTCTGCTTTAAATGTGTAAAGCTCGACCTACTGGTGACTTTTATTTAACAGATTATTTTTTGCCTTGGTGTAACAGCATAGTGAATTTGGTTTATAACACGTTTTTATTGTTCTTTCTTTTCTTTTTTATTTTTTTTTCCTCCCAAGCTGTGGAGTACTTCTCAAAGCCTGACACAGCCCCACTGCTGGTGTCTGTTTTTTGGAGCAAAATGATCCATTTCAGCAGTGAGGTGATGATGGGTGCAGCTGAGGATCCCTCTGCTCCTGGCAGCCCTTGGCTTTTGCCTCTGTCAGCAGATTCGTTTTGAAATGAAAAAACAAATCTGCATGGTCACTTCTGCCTCGAGCAACACCAGCATGACCAGTCCAGCACCTGGGACTGGAGCAGGAGCTGTGGGAATGTCCAGGTCCCCCTCCCTGGCTGCTCCTGGGGGTCAGTGAAGCAGCAGGCCTGAGGCAAACAGGGCATCCTGGCTGCCTCCACCCTGTCTGGGCTCCTTTGGGAAAATTTCCTAATGCCTGATTATTTTGGGGGTACCTTTGAGGAGTTAATTTCTTAAAAAGTACACAGGTTGAAGAGGAGGTTTTGTGGTTTCTTACTTATTCTCAAAACTTCCAGCAGTCTGATATAAAAGGCAAATAGAGAACGTGATTTAAGGAGATAGTGTAGAGCAAGGTGCTGCTTTTGCAGGAGTTCATAGGGGATGATTTGTATTCTGTAATAAATGTTTGTTCTGCTTGATCAGGAGCTGTCACAGAGCTTCCCTGCTTGCAGAAGGATCTGAGTTTCAGGGAGCTCTGTGAAGTTTGGTGAAGTGCTGCTGCTGTTGCTGCTGGGAGTGTCCCCTAGGTGTGAGAGACTGGGGAGACACTTGGATGACTTTATTTTATTGCTTTATCTCTCATTTGATTTAACTAGTTTTTGCTTCTGGCTCCTTTTCCTTCCATACATTTAAAAACAACATGAATTGGCCTTGATCCTCATTTACCAACGCACCTAATTTGCCCTTTGTTTTCCAGCCTTTCCAGCAAGTGTCTCTCCCTGTCCTCTTTGCCTTTCCTCCCATTACTACCAGAGCCTTTCTGTTGCCTTTTTTAGCTTTATTTGCCCCAATTACCCTTTGCTTGGAAGAAAGTCAAAATCAGCATCCTTCCCCCAGCACAGCCAAGAGTCCCCTTCCCACATCCTGCTCCCAGAAATGCCTCCCTTACCTGCTGCAGAGCCTGGACACCGGTGTCAGGGGTGGCAGCAGGTACAGCAGCAGGCACCTGCTGACTGCTTCTCTATTTATACGCTGAATTAATTGCTCAGAAGCTGCATTCATTACCTGCTCTGTGCCTGCTCCCCAGCTGCTCAGAACCAGTGGTCAGCTGGAACTACTGGTCACACCAATGTCAGGGGGCACCTCGGGGGCTGGAGGAGTGCCAGGCCCTGGCTGGGCTCTGGAGCTGATAGCAGGGAGCTGACTCATGAGGTTTGCCTGGAGTAGCCTGGGAGGATTGCTGCCTGTTCCACGCTGGCAGGCAACTGCTGCTGGAACTCATTTCGGAGAGGGTCTCCCCGAGACAACTTTGGCTGCTTTGGTGGAACACCTCCCCAGGAAAGTCTTTCCTCACCACGTGAGTGGCTGGACAGAGGCAGAGCCACAGAGGAGCAGTGAAGTGCCAGGACACTGAGATGTCACTGCTTCCACCAGGACAGTCCCCACATCCACTCCAGGGGAGTCAGGCACTCTTCTCCCTGCCCTGCTCACACTTTTCTCCCTGCCTTGCTCATGGTTTTCTCCCTGCCTTGCTCACACTTTTCTCCCTGCCTTGCTCATGGTTTTCTCCCTGCCTTGCTCACACTTTTCTCCCTGCCTTGCTCATGGTTTTCTCCCTGCCTTGCTCACACTTTTCTCCCTGCCTTGCTTGTGCTTTTCTTCCTGCCCTGCTCACACTTTTCTCCCTGCTTTGTTTCCCTCCAGCAGCATTTCCTCTGCAGAGTGAACCTCGTTGTGTCCCTTTCCCATGACAGGACATGAATGCAAGTTTACCCAGATAAACCAAGGAACCTTTTTTTCTGTTTTTGCTTCCTCGTGACTGAAGGTATTTTTCTGTTTGTGGATGGAAGAGGTTAATAATTCACCTGGTGGCCTTGATGAAGGAGCTGTTGGCAACAAATGAGCTGCAATTACCAGATTAAATCTGAATATATTTCTCCCCTTCCCTTGTCAATAATTTTGTGCTGATTTGAGTTTCTAACTTAACAGAGCGTGCAAAAGATAGAGGATAAATGAGGAAATGCTTTTGCTGAGGTACAGGTATCATGACACAGTTATTGGGAGCAAATCCTGGATTTTTTTCAAATCAATAGCTTTCAGAAGCAACCAAATCTGATTGAAATATCAAAAACTTGCTATGATTAGTATCTTGAAAGGCAGATTATTCCAGGAATTGTTTTGGTTTCTAGTGTAACGACAGCAGAGTGTGTTCCTAGAGATGAACACGTGGCCTTTGTGGCCACACAACGAATGTGACTTAGACAGGGAACACTGTGGTGTTTCTTTCATAGCTTTTAAAAGGTGGAAACACAAATCCAAAGTGCTTGTGCACTGGTCTGTGAACCAAGTGCTGGGCTCCAGTCTTGGTTCAGGTGATGATCCCATCTTTGAGAAACAATCTGGTGCTCCTGCCACGTCCCAGATCTCAGAGCTGGGGTTGCATTGTGGCACCAGCCTCTCCTGAGGGATCTGCTGAGCCCTGTGCTGGCCCTGCCCAGCCAGCACCTTCCTGCAGAGGTGATTTTGGGGCTGAACGTGTAAATCCACTGTATAATGGTTATGTAACAGTTGTTTTCATGCTGGTTGTTGTTACAATCGTGGTCAGAATCAAACAGCAAGTTTCTGCCATGCTTTGCTTTATTTGATTTCTAGGAAAAAGTTCTGGGTGATGACACAGGAGAAGGCTGCTGGCCTTGGTGTTTTGGTGGCCATTGCTTTTCTATTCCAGTTGCATTTCCCTTTTGGTCGTGCCAGGCTGTTCCTCCCTTTTTCAAGAGGGAAGTTCCTGTTGTTTTTTTGGTGAGGGAGTTTCCTCAGTGCCTGGTGAAAGATGGCAAGAGGTGCAAATCCTGGTTCCCACCACACAGAGCTGCAGCCACACACCTGGACCCACCACAATAACGTGACCTGTGCCTGGCTTTAGTTCCTGGCCCTCTGAGTGGGGCTGGCTCCCCCCGGGATGGAAATGGGATCAAAGGAATACCCTGGCTCTGGTTCATTATCACCCTCTGGAGCTGCTGAAATGTTGATTTAGGGTTGAAGAGGCACAAAAGAGAAAGGGGCTGCAGGGTTGGGGTGGTGGCACCGGGCAAACCCTGTGCCCACGTGCCCTGTCACAGTCCTGGGTGTCCAGGGAGGGATGAGGGAAGAGCCCAGTCCAGGAGAGCCTGCATCACACAGGAACAGCTCAGCAGGGAATGTGGTTTTTGCCCAGGGCTGTGTGAGGCACAGCCTCCAAACCAGTTGTATTTTTTCTGTTTGAACAGTTCCTACCCAACATGAATAAAAGAGTTTGTGGGGTATTTCAAATAGTGACAACAAAAACCCACCCCAAACCAGTTAATCAGAAAAAGTGCTGC